TTAAACCCATAGACTGGATAATCTTTGTCAGACACATCAACCTCCTATGTAAATATCTAAAGTGGCTCTATGCCTTGTCCACTGAATAAAAAGTAAACTCAGCTATGTAGGTACTCTGTCAACCATACTCTTGCAATAGTCCAATAGGGTCATTTGGTTCACAAGTATTGTGGCTTTTCATTCTTTAGCCTTATCTCATTCTGTTCCTTCTGTATCTCAATGCCTTAACTTGCCTTTTACCAATCCATCATATCCCTCCATTTAAGATCCAGGTTGTAAGCTAACAAGCAACTAGAAATGAGTCTGGATCAAAAACCAAATGCATGCAATTCAAAACCAAGTATATTTTGGGACTTTCTTTTTATGTGGGCCTGATTATATAGGTATCTATGTTTACTATGTAGACAATGTGATAGGTCATAAAACCTGAAAAGTTTCCTTAAACAAAATGCCTACAAATGCTGGATTAAAATAAACATATCATGAAGTGCACAGCTGAGCTTGCACAAAAGAATAAATACCCAGAGGCCAAAAGTGAAGAGAGAGTTTAAAATCTGAATGGTGAACTGATATTGAAGTAATACAAGGGAATTTGCCATTTTCATAGTCTTTTGAGACACTCTGAGACTAGGTCATAAGGCTTGAGCAAGGTGGAACACTGGAACAGTTGACACTCATCTGAATTATGCAACCCTTCTTTTTTAAAAAAATTATTGATTGATTTTAGAGAGAGAGGAAGGGGGAGAGAGACATACATGGATTTTTTTGTTCTAGTTATTTATGCCTTCACTGGTTGATTCTTGTGTGTGCCCTGAGTGGGGGATTAGACTTTAACTTTGGCGTATCAGGTTGATGCTCTAACAAAGTAAGCTACCCCACCAGGGTACAAAGCATTCTTCTTAAACCCACATTCAGTGAAAGGATTGATCAAAAAAATCAAACCACTGGGAAAGGGAAAGGACAAGGAAACTCATCTGCCCCAGCCTGGGCTCTGGTTGGGGGAAAAAAATGTCTCTTGAGAATGCAAAATCACAAACCTGCCTGAACAACAGTTTGGGGTTTGAATGTACACAATCAGGCTATCTTGAGATTAACTTAGAGTGCCAAATGAGGAGTAATGTACAATGCCAAGAACAAGCAAATGTAAATCTTTGTCAGATAAGTGGTAAGAAGAACAAAGTCGTACCACTGAGAATTCCCACTGATAGAGTGCTAGAGAAACTACTGTCAACATAAAGCACCAATAAGAACTAGAATTAATAAATGAGGACCTTTACAGACAAACAAAAACTGAGAGGGTTTACCAAATGATACTCTCTAAAGTAACTTATAAAGGATATTAATTTAAAAAAGGAAGACAGAAATTGATCCCAAAAGACTAACAAAAATATCAGTTTCAAATAGAAATACAGTAAGTCCTCAAATAACAGTTTCATTCAATGTCATTTTGTTATAATATAAATGAGATACTGTAGGAACTTAACTCTTGTTTATATAATTAGCCTATGATAAATCTGATTTCATTACGCATTGTTTCACTTCAAGTCACAAAACCTATGGAAACCATTAAGTGACAACTTATTGTAGAATGTGTAACTCGCCCCCAAAAGAGAAATAAAAGTATATTAAAACCTCAAAATAAACAAACAAAAAACCCAGCAAAGTGGACAACAGATGTTATCATTAATATAAAAAGTTGAACATGAAGAACAACAGGGATAGGACAGTGATAGAAAGGGCAGAAAAATGTTTGAAGAAATAGTGGCTGGAAACTTTCCAAATTTAATGATAAAACAACAATATTCACATTCATGAAGCTCAGTATATTCCAAATGATAAACTCAAAGATAGTCACAGTTAGACATTTCACAGTCAAATGTCCAAAGCTAAAGACAGAATTTTGAAAGCTGCAAGAGAGAAGAAATTTGTGAAATCCAAGGGATCTTTATAGGAGTGACAGTTGACTATTACATGCAAGGGGGCCAAGATGGAAGTGTAGGCAGAAACGCTTTGCTTCCTTGCACAACCGAAGTAGGAAAACAACCAATTTAAACACAAAGAACAACTAAAACTGTCAAAAAAACATTTATATAGAAGTCCAACAACCAAGAAATTGAAGTAACATTCAACCAGATGACAGCGCCACAATGCAGCAAAGAGGGTTGCCCAGCCCTGGTGAATACCTAAGGCCCCTAACTATGTAACAGGTATACCAAGACATAGGAATATGGCCCAAATGAAAGAACAGATCAAAACTCCAGAAAAAGAACTAAGCGACGAGGAGATAGCCAAAGTACCTGATGCAGAGTTCAAAATGCTGGTAATCAGGATGCTCACAGAATTGGTTGAACTCAGTCACAAAATGAAGGGACAAATGAAGGCCACACAAAATGAAATAAAGGAAAATATACAGGGAACCAACAGTGAATGGAAGGAAACTGGGACTCAGATCAATGATTTGGAACCAAAGGAAAAAATAAGCATCCAACTGGAACAGAATGAGGAAACAAGAATGCAAAAAAAAAATGAGGAGAAACTGAGGAGTCTCTGGGACAACTTTAAATATCCAACATAGAAATCATAGGGGTGTCAGAAGGAAAAAAGGAAGATTAAAAAATTGAAAATTTATTTGAACAAATAATTACGAAAAACTTCCCCAATTTAGTGAAGGAAGTAGACTTCTAGGAAGTCCAGGAAGCCAAGAGAGTCCCAAAGACGTTGGACTCAAGGAGGGGCACATCAAGGCACATCATCATTAGGTTACCCAAGATTAAAGATAAAGAGAGGATCTTAAAAGCAGCAAGAGGAAAGGACAGAGTTACTACCTACAAAGGAGTTCCCACAAGGCCATCAGCTGATTTCTTTCTTTTTTTTTTAAAGATTTTTATTTATTTATCTTTAGAGGGGAAGGGAAGGAGAGAGGGAGACAAACATCGATGTATGGTTGCCTTTCGTGTGTCCCCTGCTGGGAACTGGCCTGCAGGGAACCAGCCTGCAACCCAGGCATGTGCCCTGACTGGGAATCGAACTGCGACTGCCTGGTTCACAGGTCCGAGCTTAATCCACTGTGCTACACCAGCCAGGGCCAGCTGATTTCTTTAAAAAAAAAAAAATCTTACAGGCAAGAGGGGCTGGAAAGAATTTTTTGAAGTCATAAAAGGCAAGGACCTACACCTAAGATTACTCTACCTAGCAAAGCTTTCATTTACAATGGAAGGGCAGATCAAGTGCTTCTCAGATAAGGTCAAGTTCAAGGAGTTCACCACCACCAAGCCCTTATTATATGAAATGTTAAAAGGACTTACCTAAGAAAAAGAAGATCAAAAACTATAAACAATAAAATGACAATAACCCCACAATGATCAACAACTGAAGCTAAAAAACAAAAACTAAGCAAACAGCTAGAACAGGAACAGAGTTGCAGAAATAGAGATCACATTGAGAGTTATCAATGGGGACAGGGTCAGGGGAGATTGGGGGTTTAGAAAAGGTACAGGGAATAAGAAGCAGAATAAGTCCAAAATAATCTGGGGGAGGTTAAGAATAGTGTAGGAAATGGAAAAGCCAGAGAACTTATATGTATGACTCATGGACATGAACTAAGGGGGGAGGGGGCAGTACAAGGAGGAGGAGGATAAAGGGGAGAAAAAAATTGGGACAACTGTAATAGCATAATCAATAAAATATACTTTAAAATGTTTTAAAAGGACTGAAAATACATAGGAGTGACAGTTGATTTCTAATTAGTAACCAATGAGGCCAAAGACAGTGGGCTGACACAGTTCCTTTCAACATGCTGAAAGGAAAAGATGGTCTATCAAGAATTCTATACCCAGCAAAACTATCCTTACAAAACTGAAGGCATTATTATGACATGAAGAGCTGCTGCTCTTAAGTGGTAATTATTAAAAGAAAGAACAAAAATCAACCAACCACCACCAATAAAAAACAGGAAAAAAAAAGAAAATCATTCACAGTCTTTGGAAATGTTCCTAAGAGCAGACAGCAAATGAGGAAACATTTATTAAAGAATATCTATAAATATTTCATAGGAAAGGGGAGAAATTGTTGTATTTCAAGAAAGACTGCTACCTGCCTCCCCACCCCCAGATCAGTGAGGTGGAGGCTCCACTTCAAAGTGCTACAGCCACGAACATAGGGCTGTTTTTCCTCTCATTTCCCAGGTGCAAAAGTTTCTTCCTGGGAGGAACAGGACTCTATCGTATCACATCCTACTCTCAGATGTCTGTTGTGGGGCTAAGTCCCAAGTGAATGTGGCTGAGAGGTTGGTCTTCCTTATTTTCACCCAACCTCTACTTAGGAAACAGAGATACTCTGCCTTGGGCATTGCACACTGAGAATATTAGAGGAAGTGCAATAGAAGGGAAATGCAAGTTCAAACTGCAAAGAGATAACATTTCACACCCACTAAAGAGTATAATAAAAACAAAACAAAGAATAATAAGTGTTGCTGTGGAAAGACCTAGATAAATGAAAATATCATACAGTTCTAAAACCTAAAATTTAAAATGGTGCAGCTGCTTTGGAAAACAATCTGGCAGAATTAAACACAGAGTTACCATATGACCCAGCATTTCCAATTCTAGGTATATACCTAAGAGAATTGAATAATTCTGTTTATATGGAATGTCTAGAGTAAACACATCTATAGCAACAAAAAGTAGATTAGTAGTTGCCAGGGCTAGTGAAAGAGAAAGAATAGGCAGTGAGTGCTAATGGTTATAGGGTTTCTTTTGGGGTGATAGTATATTCTGTAATTAATAATGGTAACTATTGCCATGTAAATGACAGTAAAAACTCCATTGATTGCATACTTGAAGTTTAGCTTAAGGAGATGGAGGGAGGAAGGGAGGATGAGAGGGAGAAAGGGGGAGGGAGAGAGGGAGAAAGAGAGAGATGCTTCTCACTTGGTCATTATAGCTTAGGAGGTTGGAAATCATTTAGCCTTATTCAGCATCAACCAAATACTAATAGCTTACCTCAGTTCCAGTTTCTCTCCAGTCCCAAGCCCGACTTCCCCCTGGCCACACTTTGCAGTCCTTATAGGTTTTAGTTGTGCCTTGAACTTTCATTTGCCCCCATGAAAGGGAGGCAATTTCAGGGGAAGACATAAGGAACTCAACAAAAATCTGAAATTAAAAAAAATATACCAAATCAGTTATAAACTTGAAATAGCTACAAAATACAGGAGATACACTATATAAAATACATCTTAAAATACAATACGATAGACCATTGTTCTCCCATGAGAGCACCACCTCTGGCTTGCAGAGCTCTACCTGAAGGAGGAAGGGGGAAAGTAAAGAGGTCTACCATACCTGTGATTTTCAAGAATTTTAAAACATGCAATACCTGACTAGTTAGGAACACTGATCTCTTTTCTATTTGGCTGTTAAATAAAAAAATTGACAACAGCCAACACAACAACAGCCATCCAGTGTGAATGAATCAAAATTATATTTATCTTTTTGTCAGACTGGCAAAAAAAATGTTTTTTGGTGTGCCACCGCATTTTAGTAATTAGTTTATGTGTGCCATGACATGAAAAAGGTTGAGAGTCACTCCTTTACAAAGTAGACTGCAGATTGACCAGTGGCAAAGCACAGAGGAAGCAACTGGCTGCCGAAGCCGCTCATGAGTTGGCCCTCTGCTGGAGGGGTGAAGAAACCTCACCGTCCGTCTGGGGCCTGGTGCTGTGGCACTCTGTGATATCAGACGTTATCAGAAGTCCAATGAACTTATGATTCACAAACTTCCCTTCCGGAGTCTGGTGCAAGAAATTGCTCAGGATTTCAAAAGAGATCTGTGCTACCAGACAGCAGCTATTGCTGCTTTGCAGGAGGCAAGCGAGGCCTGTCTGGTTGGCCTTTTTGAACACGCCAATTTGTGTGCTACCCAGGCCAAACATATAACAATTATGCCAGAAGACATCCAGCCAGCACACTGCATACGCAGAGCGCATGCTTAAGAATCTACTAAGATGGGCAATATTTCATTCTTTAAAAAGAAATCTCTTCTCCCTATTAATTGCTAGTTCCGAACATTAGATTGTTTTTTCCCATGAAGTCAAAAGCTATCTAGGTATATATTGTAGGTGGAAAAAAGAGGACAGAAATCAGGGATTGGCAATTTTTCCATTTTCATTTGTGTGTGAAATTTTTTAAAATATAAATGCAGGGCCATAAAGCAATTCCGAATGTTTCATGAACAAATTTCATCAGCTCAGCTTTATAATAATTATATACAACCTGTTAAGTTTTTCCTGAGCAATGCCAGTGTTTGGATTTTTAACTTAAATACATTTTATTGTATATATAATATTATATACAAAATATAGTTTGCTCCAGTCCTCTATGAGTTAAGGAGCATCTTTCTCATTTATATGTTTTTTTACCTATTCTTTAGAGGTCCCAAAAGAAAACTGTTATTCTTGGCATCCTGAAACATCCAGCCTTGGAAACTAGATAGTATAATTACTTCTCAGACTCTGGAAGGAATTCTCAGGATGTTATTTTGGAGATAGAAATTAAAATATAGATATTTACTTCAGCATGATTGAGAAAGGAGACAGACAATCCTTTCCCCCAAAAAGCAACTATAAATATGGACCAAACTATTAAAAATAACCATTTGGCACTCCAGAAATAATTTTAAAGGCATAATATAAACTGAGAAGTGTTTATTCATGGCAACCACTGAATTTCAGATAAGAACAGTAAGATATCTTGTTGTTCTCGCCTGGGACCGCTCTCATGCCCCCATATTGACTCTTTTGACACAGAGGTTCAACTTGGTTGAAGCAGGGCCTGAAAAACAACTACAAAACAAACAAGCAAGCAAAATAAAAACAAAGACACTGAAATAGAGAACAGGGGGACAGTGACCAGAGGGGAGAGGGGAGGGAATTTCAGGATTTACAGGAACTAGCATAAAAGACACATGGACAACAACTAAGGGGGGTGGAAATGGGAGGGAGGTGGGGGGCATGGGGGGTGGGCTGGGATGGGAGTAAAAGACAGAATACTGTACTTGAACAACAATTAAATAAATTTTAAAAAAAGTTTTATTTCTGGACTTAGTTTAGGGTCAAGGTGGAGGAGTAGATAAACATGGCTTGCTTCATTGCATAGTCACATCAAAATACAACTAAACTATAAACTGAAGATCACTCAGAACCATCAGAAATCGAGTTGAATGGAAATCTGACAACCATAGAACTAAAGAAACCACATCAGTCCAGACTGGTAGGAGATGCGGAGATGCAGATTGGGCAGGCGAGTCCCACAAACGTGTGGTGCAGAAAAATTTGGAAGGGATATCTCAGGAATGAGTGGTCCCCACCCCACAACAGGCACTCCAGCTCAGGGTGCCAGTTTCAAGAAGATAAAACCTCATAACTTCTGGCTGTAAAAACCAGAAGGATTGGAATTGGTAAAAAAGAAACAAACAAACAAAAAAAACACTACTGGACTCCCTGGCAGTTCCTTCAAAACAGCCCAGGCTGAACTTACTCACATGCACTCCCTCTGAGCTCCAGAACCACCAGGGGAGCAGTTTGAAAGGTATCAGTGACATATGGGGAGGAACTGAAGTGTCTGGCACAAGGGTCAGAGTTGGGGGACAGCTTTCTCCCAAACAGAAAGGAGGGCAGAAGCCATGGTGCCTTTTTTTTTTTTTTTTTAAGATTTTATTTATTTATCTTTAGAGGGGAAGGGAAGGAGAGAGGGAGAGAAATAACAATATACAGTTGCCTCTTGTGTGTCCCCTGCTGGGAACTGGCCCACAACCCAGGCAAATGCCTTAACTGGGAATCGAACCGCAGTTGTTTGGTTCGCAGGCCTGCTCTCAACCCACTGAGCTATACCAGCCAGGTCACCATGGTGGCTTTTTTGAGCCTTCCCCCCTACAGAGCTACAGAACGGGCAAGGGTTGCCACACCTGAGATTCCATCAACCTGGCTTATACTGTTTGCTCCACCCTGGCTTTTACCTGAGGCGCCACCCCACCAAACTTACAGGCCAACCCCTGCCTCATACCTCTAGCTAAGCAGCCCCTGCCCTGGCACTAGCAGCAGCCAGCTTTGGATCACAGTTTGGCTCTGCCTGGGAACTTCCAAGCCCATCACAAGTAAAAGCCATCTGCAGATTGCTCTGTATCTCACACTGGGTGGCCCTGGGTAGAACATAGGGAGTGGTTGACCCTGACCTGTACTGCCTGGGAACCCCCATAGCCTTTGTACCCAGTGGACAGCTACAGGCCATATTGGAGCATCACCACCCAGCCACAGTACAGCCAAATGAATCTCCATGGAGGGTGGAGGTTGGTGATCAGTGGTCACAGCCAGTCCTTGCAGCTGACTGGCCTGGGTAAATCCCTCCCATAGACCTGCTAAGAGTAAACAAGGCTCAAATACAAGAGGAGGGTGTACTCAGCCCACACAGATGGCAGACTGTGAATATACAGCTTGGGTGATAGGGTAGGATGTGCCACCAGAGCCTACAGGCCACACTACCAAGACAGGGAGTCATAGTGGCTCTATCTGATACATAGAAACAAACACAGGGAGGCTGCCAAAATAAGGAGACAAAGAAAAATGGCCCAAATGAAAGAACAGATCAAAACTCCAGTGAAAGAACTAAACAAAATAGAGAAGAGCTGTCTACAGATGCCGAATTCAAAACACTGGTTATAAGGATGCTCAAGGAACTCAGCAGGTACTTCTACAGCATAAAAAAGAGCCAGGCAGAAATGAAGGATATTTTTATGGAAATGAACAATTTATAGGGACTCAACAGAAGAGTGGATGAAGCCCCAAACCAAGTCAATGACATGCAACATAAGAATACAAAAAACAAACAAAATCAATCAGAACTACAAGAAAAATGAATCCAAAAAAGGAGAGGACAGTGTTAGAAGCCTCTGGGACAACTTCAAGCATTCCAACTTTTGCATCATAGTGATACCAGAAGGAGAAGAGAAAGAGCAAGAAATTGGAAACATACTTGAAAAAATAATGAAAGAAAATTTCCCTAATTTGGTGAAGGAAATAGACATGAAAGTCCAGTAAGCACAGAGAGTTCCCAACTAGATGTATGTAAACAGGTCCATACCAAGACACATCATAATCAAGATGCCAAAGGTTAAAGATAAAGAGAGAATCATAAAAGAAGAGAAAAGAAGATACTTACCTACACGGAAACTCCCATAAGGCTGTCAGCCAATTTCTCAAAAGAAACTTTGCAGGCTAGAAGGGACTGGCAAGTGATATTCAGTCATGAAAAGCAGGGACCTACAGCCCATTGCTCTACCCAGCAAAGATATTCAGAATGGAAGGGCAGATAAAGGGCTTCCCAGACAAAAAACTGAAGGAGTGCATCGTCACCAAACCATTATTATATGAAATGTTAAAAAGACTTATTTAAGGAAAAGAAGATCAAAACTATGAATAATAAAATAACAATAAACATACCTATCAATGACTGAGTTAAAAAAAACAAACTAAGCAAACAAGAAGAACAGAAACAGAATCATGGACATGCAGAGCATGTTGATGGTGGCCAAATGGGAGGGGGTGTGAAGGAAAAGGGTGAAGAGGTGAGGGTGTTAAGAAGAACAAATAGGTAGTAACAGAGTAGCCATGGGGATGTAAAGTACAGTATAGGAAATGGAGTAGCCAAAGAACCTACACATGACCCACGGACATGAACAGAGGTGGGGGGATTCCCTGAAGGAAGTGAGGGGTGCTGGAGAGGGGGTCAAAGGAGGAAAAATTGGGATAAGTGTAACAGCACAATCAATAAAATATTTAAAAAAAGAGAGATTAGTTCAAGGCAGTGGCTCACGCAGTTATGTGAGCTGATCTGTCCAAAATATGTAGGGCAGGCCAGTAGGCCTGCTAAATCTTGGGCAGAAGTCACTATTGCAGTATTGATGTTACTTTTTCTTCCTTACGAAATCCTCAATTTTGCTTTCAAGGCCTTAACTGATTGGGTGAGGCCTACCAAAAATAGTGAGAATAGTCTCCTTTATTTAAAAGTCTACTGGCCCTGGCCAGTGGCAGTGCCGCTGGTGCAGCATTGCTCTGTAAACTGGAAGGTGTGGGTTAGTCCTGGTGAGAGCACAAGCCTCGGTGGTGGGTTTGTTCCCTGGTTCGGGTGCCAGTACAAGAGGCAACCAGCTGAGACTTCTCTCTCACACAGATGTCTGTCTCTCTCTCTATGTCCCTTCCTTCTCCTCTCTCTAAAAATCAATAAGCATGTTCTTGAGTGAGGATAAAAAAAAAGTCAGCAGATTGTAGATGTTAACTGCATCTATACAACGCTTTCATAGCAACACCTAGATTAGTGTTTGAATAGCTGGGTACTGTAACTCAGCCAACTTGACACATAAAACTGACCATCACAGTCCACCCCTTGTCAATTTGACACCTATAAATGTTTCTCTAAACCATATTTAATCTTTAAATAAAGACAATAACAACGTGATACTACTGCTTAACATTAATAACCACTAATACATTTCCATAGCTTCATCTCCTAAATATCCATTTTTAAAGTATATATGTAACAAAGAACATAAACACACTGTTTTAGGTGCTGTGAGAGGAAGATACAAATTTATAGGACGTGATTCCTGTTCTTGAGGAGCTGCTATCACACTAGAGCGGAGAAGACATGTCCAGATACTTATAATGTAATTTTTAAAAGGTAACCTTTTAAATACAAGGCAACTTTTGAGAAGTGGTATAAAGAAAATATAATAAATTCTTATGAATGTTGAGAAAGACTTCTGTATAGTCTCCTAGAGTCCCTATAACAAAATACCGTAAACTGGGTGGCTTAATTTATCTTCTCACAGTTTGGAGGCTGAAGTCCAAGATCAAAGTGCCAGCAGAGACCTCCCTTCCTGGATTGCAGGTGGATTTTTTTTTGGCTTTCTTTTCCTATGACCATTTCTCTGTGCAAAAGTATGTGCATGAGCACTCTTGATGTCTTTTTTAGGGGATCATGGCCTCACTTAACCTTACTACCTCCATTTCTCCTTAAAGGCCCTGTCTTCAAATATAGGCATATTGGGTTTGGGCCTTCAATTTATGAACTTTGGAGAGACACATTTCAGTCCATCGCAGCTATCCATGGCAGTACTGTACAGTCTTGATTAATGTAGCTTAGTACTACTTTGAAAACCAGGAAATGGCCCTGGCTGCTGTGCCTCAGTGGATTGAGTGCCAGCCTGGGAACCAAAGGGTCACTGGTTTGATTTCCAGCCAGGGCACATGCCTGGGTTGTAGGCCAGGTCCCCTGCAGGGGGCATGTGAGAGGCAACCACACATTGATGTTTCTCTCCCTCTCTTACTCCATCCCTTCCTCTCTTACTCCAGGAAGTGTAAGATCACTTACACTTCAACTTTGTATTTTATTTTGAATTTTATCCTCACCCAAGAACATGTTTATTGATTTTAGAGAGAGGCGAGCAAAGGAAGAGAAGGAGAGAAATATTGATGTGAGAAAGAAACATTGATCAGAACATTGATCAGGTGCCTCTCCTCTGCGCTCCCACCAGGACCGAACCTGCAGCCTAGGCAAGTGTCTTTACTGGGACCTGAATGCATGACCTTTCAGTTTATGGGACTACGCTCCAACTAAGTGAGCCACACTGGCTAGGGCAAGTTTGTTTTTTTAAAAACACTGTTTAGGATAATCTGGGTCCCTTCAATTCCCATATTAATATTAGGATTAATTTGTTAATTTCTACAAAAAACCAACTGCAGTTCTGAAGGGGATTACACTAAATCTTTAGATAAATTTCAGAAATATTGTCCTTTTCTTTCAAAAGTAAGTTGTCCAAACCATGAATATGGGATATCTTTCCATTAAGACTTTTTAAATTTCCTTTAACAGTATTGCAAAATTGTTAAGTCTTGTATTTAAAAAATTATTCCTGAATATTTTATTCTTTTTGAGGGTATTGTAAATAAAATTATTTTATTTTATTTTATTTTGGACTTATTGCTAGTGTACAAAAATACACTTGATTTTTGAGCATTTATCTGGTAGCCTGTAAACTTGCCTACTAGTTTATTAGTTTTAATACTTTTTTGGTGAATTTGTTAGAATTTTCTAAATATAAGATTATGCTATTAATGATAGCATAGAAGTTGTTTCATTTCTTCCATGCCAGAGGAGATGGTGTTATGGTCATGTGTTGTGTAATTTCTTTTCAAGAAAAGACTTAGTGAAGATAGGAGCTAAACCTTGCTTTATAGTAAAATATCTCTTGCCTTTTAGGTAGATACAACTTTTTGATGTCCAAGGACTTTGTTCCTATGCCAGTCTGGATTAACAAAGACAGAAACTCTAACCTTGTTTATCAGTCCCCTTGGAATAACACTGTGATCACTGAGAAAACTATAGTATAAAGACTTTGTTTGTTTGTTTTTTAAAGAATCTTATTTTATTACCCCATGGATTAGTAGGTGAGGTGCTAGAGAAGCTGAAAGCTAAGAAATAGAAAAGAAGGAGGTAGAGAGTAAGGTTCATATAATAAAATAATTGTCTTTACTTTGAAGAGTTTTTCCATCAAAATTTCTTAGCAAAGACATGACTTAATATTGTGAACCTTCGTTTTATTTAAGATCAATTAGGTAACAATTTTATGAAGGATTTTTTGTGTCTTGCTGCAAAATTGTTAAAAATGAGTTCTGGGTCTTGGCTGAATATCTAAGTTGGTGGAATCCCAATATTCCAAGGTTGCAGTTCCACCACAGTTTGGGGCACATACAAGAATCAACCAAGCCCTGGGTGGTATAGCTGAGTGGGTTGAGCTCGGGCCTGCAAACCAAAGGGTCGCCAGTTCAATTCCCAGTCAGGGCACATACCTGAGTTTTCGAGCCAGGGGGTGTGCAAGAGACAACCACACATTGATATTTCTCTCCCTCTCTTTCTCCTTTCCTTCCCCCCTCTCTAAAAATAAATAAATAAAATCTTTTAAAAAAATCAACCAAATGAATGCACAAATAAGTGGAACAACAAGTTGGTATTTCTCTGTCCCTTCTCCCCTGAAAATCAATCAATAAAAGTTTTTAAAATGGTTCAGCATTTTAAAATTGATTTAAGAGGGAGAAACACTGACTTGTTCACTTATTTATACATTCATTGGTTGATTCTTGTAATGTGCTCTGACCTGTGGGACAGAAGCCACAACCTTGGGTATTGGGACAATGCTACCCACCTAGGGCCTGAATCAGCTTTTTCTAAAACTGGGCTTTAGATCCCCAGGTTTTGGGATATATGAGTAACATAAAATTTTCCATTTTAACTATTTTTATGTGTATAAATCAATGGCATGAAGTACATTTACACTGCTGTATAGGCTTTAATTTCTTATATCAGTATTTTTTAACTGAAATTTTCAAAAGCATTTGATATGTTTCAAAAGAATCCCCCCCCCTTTTAGAAAGGGTGTATATATTAGGACTCAGTATTCTAGGTAATAAATCCCTCTAACATTTTTTTTCTCTCTTGGTAAATTAGTATTCTTTCTTAATGAGAATGATATAAACCATGACGGTTTTCCCTTTTTTACCTAGAAATGCAGAACAAAACTCAATGTTTAATTGTGGTAAGCATTTTTTTATGTTCCCAATACATAGGTACTATTATCACCCCCACGTCACCGCGGTTCAAAGAGGTGAAGGATATTCCCCAACGTTATGAAGTGGTTGTTTTAGGATTCAAGTCTGGCCGAATCGAAAGCTTAGGCTCCTAACCATAAGGCACATTGCATCTCAAGCTGTTCATTCCATTTTGCATTATTGACGGTTTTCAGAGATTCTGTGTGGGAGAACGCTCATTGCTGCCTCCGCCGAAGTGGAACCCTGTTCTCTATCAAACTCTTTGCTCTTTCACCAAATCTATCAAGTCCTGCCCTCTTAGTAACTGAGTCATAGCCCACCCTCCGACCTTGGTCCCCCATAGAATCTATCCCCTCAGACCTGGTGCCTCAACAGGTCCCCTCTCCCTTACACCCTGGCAACCACAGCAGAAACCAGTCCTCTCACACCTTGGTGCTCAGCAGAGGCTGGTCCTTTCAGACTCTGATCTCCTGGCAGGGCCCTAACCCCTTTGACCGGTGATCCCCGCAGAGTCTTTGTTCCTTCAAGCCCTCGTCCCCTGGAGCCCTCAGACCCTGTTTTCTAGAAAGCAAAGTTGCGACTTTTGCACCCCAGCGGGCAGCAAACTCCCACAGACTTCTTCTTACACAGGTGCCATCCCAACCCCTAATTAAGGGCACCGCTCTACCTTTCTCCTTTTCAACCTGCTCCCACAATCATGTTTTCATCCCCCTCCAGTTCTCTTTTTTTTCTGCTTCTGATTCACCCTCCTTAACTTCCCTCACCACCTCTTGGCCCTGTTTCAGTTCTCGGAGTCCCCAGCAAACTCACCCAAAGCACTCTCCGCAAGGAGTTACGATCCTAAACCGCTCCGTGTTTTACTTCTCACCTCAGCTGGGTCTGGCTCTCTGGCCGAGGTGCTCCCCCCCCCACCCCGACCATTCGCCCCGCCCAGAGCAAGCCTTTCCACTGTTATAGTCCGAAGCCCCGCCCTCTCAGGGCCTATTGGTCCTCGTTCCCCAAAAGTCCCGCCCCCAACTTCCAGATTGCCTCCCAGCCCGGCTTTCCTTGTTTTCATTCCTTGTGTCACACGAGGCAGTGGCGAACGCAAAGTGGGAGGGGCGAAGTACTGGGAGGGGAAGGGGGCGGGAAGAGGGAGGAAAGTGAAAGGCACAGAACGTCTCTCTTTCCCCCATCTGACTCGGTTCTCTACTGCTCCCGGCCGCCGTTGTATTGTGGGATCGCGGCGCCTTGCCCGAGAAGCTCGAATCCGGCAGAGGAGTCCACTAGCTAGCGCCTCCTGTCGTCTGCAAAGCTGCCTTGCCATTCCTCGGCACCCCAGCTCCCCCCCACCCCCGAATCGCCTCCTCCTCCATCCTCCAGTTCAAAATGGCGGCGGCGGCGGCAGCGGCAGCGGCAGCGGCGATGGCTTCTCAGGGCTGCCCGGGTTCGTGCCCCAACTTCGCTGTGGTGTGCTCCTTCTTAGAGCGCTACGGGCCGCTGCTCGATCTGCCTGAGTTGCCGTTCCCTGAGCTGGAGCGGGTGCTGCAGGCGCCGCCGCGGGACGTCGGCAACGGAGAAGGTATGCGAGGGGCCCGAACGCCCGGCGGGAAGCGGCCCTTGCACGCTTCTTTTTTCAGCTCTTCATAGACGCTTCGGGCCTCCGAGGCTCTTTTTCCCCCTTGGGGTGCATCTGCGCCCGGCCAGTCTACTCTGCCCTGTGTCCTCGGGTGTTGGGCAGTGGGGAGGCGGGGCGGAGGCCCCCTAGGGCCACTCGTCCAGGCGCTGAACGGAGGTGGGGGCGTCGTGGGTTAGGTGTGGGCTGGGGGCGGGGAGGGGTCATTGTGCTGATCCGCAGCCCCTGGGACTGCTACCCGGCGGCAGGGGCTGGTTCCCCACCCTGTATCCCTCTCGGTGGCGGGGGAAGGGGAGAGCAGGTTCCGGCCAGCTTTGCGCTTTTCTCCTCCTCCTCTCCCTTCGTTTGCTATCCCTCCCCTCCTCCCACCATCCTCTCGACCATCTCGGGGGAGGCTGGTCTCATCTTCTTGGGGCGTCCCCTTTCTGTCCACCTGGGTGGGCGGGGGCCAGCGGACACTTAAGCTCTCCCTCCCTCTAGTGGAAACTCCCCGGAGAGTGTCGGCTCTCGCCCCTCTTTGCTTCTCCTGGGGGGCCAGTTTAACCCCCAATACTCCTTCCTCTGACTACGGAGATTTGCTCCTCCCCCGTGGGAGGAGGGGTCCTTCTCCATTCTCGGTTTGGGGGTCTAAGTCGGTTCACCTCCACTTAGGAGCGTAGAGGGTTAATTTCTCCTCCCCCATAGTTTTTCTCTACCTCTCCCCCACCACACCCCCGCATAGAAAAGCATCTCCCCACTTTTCCAGTCCCTTCCCCCTTCATCTTGGCAGCAAGGCTTAGGGGAAGAAGAAGTCGCCCTCCCATTTGCAGGGTGGGGTGGGGTGGGGTGGTTAGTATGTAGGCTGGAGGAGGGGCTCAGACGGAGGGGGAAACAGTTGAAGAGGTGCTTGTTGCTCATGTTTCTCTCTGGTGCCGCTGGTCTATTATTGGTGTTCGCAAGTGGTGCTCCTTCCACATAAGGCCACCGCGCGGGTGCAGGGCGCATGCTCTACCCGGCCCCATTGAAACTTCCTGCTGCTGCTGGTTCTTTTCGCTGGAGCATCTCTGCGCTGCGCCTGCTGCCTCCAGCACTCACACTGAGCGCTGACATTCACTCCCTATTTATTTCCGATCCATGCCTTTCTTTTTCTGGCATATTTCTGCCCTTAGAGAAGGGTTTTTTGCTGAACTCTGATCATTGTCTTTATCTGGGAACAGCCCTTGGCTGGAGAAGAAACGTTTTCCAAATAGGTCTTTTTTCTTCATTCTTTTTTTTTCCCCCCGTATTGGATGGCAAAGTGGACTGGGTATTGTACAAAAAAGCTGTTTCTTTTCGTTCTTCATTTCTCCATGGAAATGAAGTTTCTCTTAACTGTGTATTTTCACTGCTAGGAAGGGCGTAAGTGTCAGGTTCTTAAAATGTTACCTATAGAGAAAATGATGTTATGATTACCAGAGACCCAAATTAATAGAGTAGTTATAGTGCAGACCTCTGTCTTTTCTTACCTGCCCAAATCTCTACCCTTAAACTGGCACATAAAAGGCTAATTTTTCATATAGTATAAAATACGAGGATGATTAATATATTATATAGACATTATATAAACTTCTTGCAGAAGTTCTTAAAAAATTAAGTTCCCCAATATAATAATTTTCATTATCAAATTATATTTGCATTCAGTTTTTAAGGAAATAGTCATTGTGAAGTCAAATGCCTTAGTAAGTTGCTGTTAGGGTACCTTGGGAAATGATAATAATCTTATCAGAGAGGAATGTGGGAATTTGAGGAAAAGGATTGCTGATAGGTAAGTTATTTTTGGAATTTACTTGGACCAAACTGAAAAGTGGGTATAGACTTTCTGTGATGGTGTGGTATTTTGGATGGTATACAAGATTGCTTGTCCCTCCGTTCCTTTTAAGTATTTTGACCACTGCATTTTTCTTATGTTAATAAAAATAAAAGATATCAGAGTCAATTTAATACTTCATGTTACCTTTCTATCTAGAGTTGAATAAAGTAAAAAATGGGAAATAATATGGGCTGAAATATTGTACAAGTTGGCTCAGCCACTGCATTATCATTATTATAGTTAAAACTATAATAATCTTGTCATAAGGTGACCCAAGAATGAAAACTATTATTATTTTTAAAGATTTTATTTATTTATTTTTAGAGAGGGGAAGGGAGGTAGAAAGAGAGGGAGAGAAATATCAATGTGTGGTTGCCTCTCACAGGCCCCCCCTGGGGACGTGGCCCACAACCCAGGCATGTGCCCTGATTGGGAATCGAACTGTTGACCCTTTGGTTTGCAGCCCACACTCAATTCACTGAGCTACTCCAGCCAGGGCTCAATAATAATTATTAATATTACACAGTTCAGGATATGTGGCAAATGAAAAGTTTGCAGGTGAAATACTGTTAACTGTACAGGGCAAAGATTTTCATTTTCAGGTCTTCGATGATGGTTAAGCCACTTGAAATAGCTGATAAAATAATACTGGTCCAACTAGCAAGATTTGAGCTGAGGCTTTTGGGAAGGAGTTGTGGTGTACTAGGAAGAATTAAAGTATATGAGTTTTAGTGTTGAGCTCTGTATTATATAAGTTGTAGTGTAAATTACTTAATTACTGTGGGCCTCAGTTTCTTCTGTAAATTGAGATATCAGGATCAAATGAAATGTTTCAAAAATCCTTTCATAAACCCAGTATTTACAGATATTCTTATGTTACAAATTTTATTACAGAAATTTGTGGGAAGACCCAAGAGTGTATTTGGAATCGAAATGATAAATTTCTAGCATGTGAGAGAAGGGTTTGAACAGATATATTGAGCTATTATGCTCTTGATGAAAAGTTTTTGTTATTAACAAATGAGTTTTGCTCTATATAAATTTAAGTATTTTTAAAGACAGCTTTTAATGCTATTTAAAGAGGCCTAGTTTATAAAATTTTTCTTTCCTAGTGTGGTTGTGCCTTGAAAGGTGATGTTTAACATACACGTCCTTCTGGTTGCCAGCTCAGTACTTTTTACCTAGTCTTTTATTGTGGTGTGTCAGTGTTACAGCATCCTTTGGAGGAGATTATAGTTCACTGTATTGCCCCTATTTAAGCAGTTCAAGATCTTTCCCCTAACTACTTGTTTATGTTTTAACTTGACATTGTGGTTTTCACCTTAGAATGTTTCTTTCACTCCCACAGAGTTGATTATTAAATTTGGTTTTACCAACTACTTGTTCAGTTTTAATGATATTATAATAGCTGCCATTTATTGAGCATTTACTGTGTGCAGACATCTCATTGTTCCTTACAACTATTACCTGGGGTTGCTCTATTATTCTTATGTGGCAGGCATAGAAGCTAAGGTTCGAGAGATTGATTCAGCTGCTGTTGCCCAATATTATATAGTTACTGGTAGAATTTGATTTCCAACCCAGATCTGTCTCCAAACCACAAAATTATGTAATACTGTGCTATAGGACCATGTCTCCCAGACTTCATCAAGGCACCACAGGGTATTGCTACCAATTCTCAGAGGTTAGTTTAAATTTTTGAGGGAGATAGAGCAGTATTTGACATCTCTTGGTTGCCAGGTGAACTACTAGCTTGAGAGAGTTCATTGGTTCAGAATTAGATTATGCTACATTCCTTCCAGTGACATATCTTTGTGAGTTTTGTGGGTTTCTGTGATAAAGCACAAATACTGCCTGAAAATTATTGTGGAACAGGAAATAAGAAGTGTCCAGTCTGATTCCAGGGTTTGAGAGGTTTGTGTAGTGCCCAGCTGTAATACACGTTCTATAAGTAGTAATTGTGGTTATTTAAGAATGAATGTTCTTGTCAGCTGAGATAGGTTTGTTTTTCAAGTAGCTACTAATAGTTTCATAAGTGGAACTGTTATTTCTTGGACTAGGGTTGCTATGAAAGAAAACATTACTAAAGTGCTGAGGGTACCAGGAGCCTAGAAAGCTTGAGAACCTTTCTAGAGGTTCTGTGCGTTAGATAGTGCTCTAGAGACTATCTGCGTTTTAGGGCTAGAAGGAAAGGACTTGTGCATCTATTTTGCTTTTATTTTGCAGAGACAAAAACCGAGGTGCGCTGATTAATTTCAAGTGTATACAGCTAGCTGGCCATTGGTGTTACTTAGATTGTTACTTGAAATGTTTACTTATATGCTGAAATTATCAGCAAAAAATATAGTCGTCTTGTTGATACTTGTTGGACTAGGAAATGGTCCAACATGGTGTGTTGGACCAAATGGTGTGTCATCTGAAAGTGCTGTTTTTAAGCTGTTAATTAATTATTTTAAGCTTCTTACCTGAGGATATGTTTTTATTGACTTTACAGAAAGAGAGAGACATTGAGAGGAAGGGAGAAACAGTGATATGAGTTTGATTGGGGACGGTTGCCTTTAGTATACACCCCTGACTGGAAATTGAACCCTCAACCTTTTGGTGTGTGGGACAAGACTACAACCAACTGAGCTACCTGGCCAGGGCTGAAGGTGTTGTTATATCCCCCCTCCCTCACAGTCTACTTTCACCCTCCAAATTCTGTGCTCTCTCCAGACTCCTCAGCTTCCTCTTGACCGGAGGTGGATGACCAGGAGATGAGGACACAAATAAAAGTGGTCACTGACTTTGTGGGGTTACCAACTCTCAAGGCTCCCAAGCATCTGTCCTCTCCTGTAGGCGACATTCTTTTGAAGAGGAAAATAGGCTTTTTCATTCTTTAAAGATGGTATTTGTATGATATTGTTAGAGACATTACTTACATCTAATAACAGTGTATTAACGTATGTATGGATAATGTGTTATGATTCCAATAGTTTATACTGTGGCTGACTGAGTTATTTGTATAGTGTTAAAGAACTTGAGTCATTGGGTATTTTTTTATTTGGTTTTCTTTTTAAGATTTCATTTTTTAAAAAGCAACTTTAGGTTTGATTTCTTTTTTCATTTATTAATAATT